GGCAGTGTTTCGTTCTGCTGTGCATGGGGTCGCTATGAGTCGGAAACGACTCGACGGCACTTAACAACATAACAACAACATTGGATTTTCAGTCTCGCTTATTGTCTTCTCTGGTGCCTTTTCCAGGCAGCTCAAGGGGATAGATCCCATACTTCCCTGTTCCTCTGTATATAATGGCTTTGTGGCCTGAGCCGCTGACCTGAGTCTACCTAGTCTTCAGTGGGTCCTTTAGGCTGGCTAGCTGGCTGGCCCAAGTTCACAGAAGAGGGAACCAGATAGACCGAGTGGATGAGCTTCAAGTCACTGACTTGATCCCTTACCACAGTAACATATCTAATCTCCCAAGCAGGCCTAATACCAACTATTCACTTCTCTTGTGAAAGCAGACAGGTTTACACAATAGCAATCATCTCTGGTCTCTTATATTTTATCCCATTTAGACTAACCACCCATTATTCACCCAGAGGGAGCAAGCAATGGTGGTTCAGTGGCAGGGTTCACTTTCCTTATGGCAGATCCTGGTTTGATCCCTGGCCAATGCCATCCATGCACTGCCACCACTCCTCTGTCAGTGGAGGCTTGCACGTTTCTATAACGCTGAACAGGTTTTGGGGGGTGATTCCAGACTAAAACTGACGTAAGAAAGGCCTGGTGATCTATTTCTGAAAATCAGCAATGAAGACCCTATGGATTACAACAGTTTGATCTGTAACCAATCATGGGACTGGCCCAGGAGCAGGCGGTGTTTCATTCTGTCCGCCGAGAGTTGGTCCTACTCCATGGCAGCTAACAATAACAACGTTCTTCCAACAGGGGTACAAGAAAGGGAGAGCAAAGAGATTTTGTCTCAGGTGTGGACTTTAATTTACCGTTAGTGGTACTCCGCAATACTCTGTTGAGAAGGATTCTGAGGCTGGGTCCAAGTTTAGTGGTAAAATGTATCGTATTATTTATGTTTGCTTGGGTATATGGAAAGAGTTGTTAGACCACGCATGTTACATATTTTTCATCTTGAGTATAAAAAAATACTGATAGCTGTTTTATTTATCTTCCTAAGCCACTCCTCGGAAGGAAGATTAGAAATCTACTTCTGTACTGATACCGCCTTGGAAACTCAAGGAGGGGTCACTATGAGTCAGATCCGACTCGACGGCCAGTAAGTTTGGTTTCTTAAATCTTTGTGATAAAAGAGGAAGGCTTAGGAAATTAAAAACAAAACAACAACAACAAAAAGTCTATGGATCTATTTCCAGCTCCTTTAATAGGTCTTGGTCATAATAATCAAAAAGTTTGATAAGACTGTAACATATAAAACTGTGGCAAGGTCACAGACATTTTTTTTTTTATCCATATGAAATAAAATGA